GGCTGGTCTCTGCTGATGGATCCTGATAGAAACAAATACATGATCACACAAGTGTAAAAAGAAAACAGCCAAAAATGAACACTTCATCTCTCACCTTTCATGAAGAAAGCGGCGTCCATGTTTAAACTCAATGGGATCAATAATGGACTGATTACTCTTTATGGACACACAGCTGGGTTCAGAAGAGGCTGGTCTTTGCTGACGGACCCTGATAGAAACAAAACCACATCAAATGTCACTTGAGTCCTTTTTAGACATGAGATACATAACAACACCGACTTCATTAATCTATTAAAGCAACAGCATTCTGTCATTCAGACATATGCCACTAAATGTAGAAATGCAGATTTTTTTCTCCATTTTCCTCATCCTTTAAGATTTAAACAGCATGTTTCTATTATGAAAGAGGATGTTTTCCAAAATGGCCTCCAGAGTAAGTCATTCTGACATTTTGTTGTTTTCTTCAACTAAACCAGGAGAAAGACGAAGAAGAAAGAACAACAGCAACAATATGGTTCTGCTGACTTTAGATCACTGGAGCTGACGACCTATGTGTGTGAATAATGAAGGTCAGTGATGTGAGTGCTGAGCTCTGACAAGGAGAAGAGTCATGGACAGTTAGAGATGTTCATCTCACCTCTGAGCTTTGCTCTGGTTCTCATGTTCCCCCCACAGAGTGGTTTTAGAGGGAGGGACTCCCTCCTCTCTGTCCTCACACTGATCCATAGCAGAGCCACACCTTCACACAAACACAACAATCTGATCAGGACAACAACATTCACACTGCTGTCTACCACAGTGTCATTTTACATTCTACCACCAGATGGCACCAATTTTAGTGATGCTCAAAACATAAAATCTATTACTTTATATATCATTGTATTTTTGTCCACTAGTCTATATGTAGCATTAGAGTTCAGTTCTGTTAAAAGCCTGAGAACATACATATACTTTAATTCAGCTGTGTGGTAGAAAAAGAAAACACTGACCAGGAGAACTCAGATCCACATCCAGTCACAGAGCAGATCAGCCCTTTACCTGAAACACACAGAGAGAAGCTGCTGATTCTCCTTCATCAGTCCTTCATCATCCATCTGAGGACTCTGTCACACTTTCACAACTTTACTGTTAATATACAGAAACATTGAGATCAAAGTGAACCAGTGAAACGACAAAACATCACGATAATGATATTCACTCCAAAATGTCACCGATGTTGAAACCAGATCATAAGTTAAAGAGGTGGAAATTTCCTGGACATTTTTGGCTCCATTTCAGGCTGATCCAGCTAAATACCTCTGAAGATTTAGGACCCAGGATTTGACATGGGTTCACCACTTTGATCCTGAATCTAAGCAAACAATGGAAACACACTGATTCCCCGGCTCCAAAAAAGTCTGTTGGGAAGATGGTGGCTTCTGTGTTTTGAGACATTGAGGGATTCGTCATGGCTGACTTCTTGCAGAAGGGCCAAACCATAAATGTGGACTACTATGCATCAGAATTGCAGTAAATGAAAGAAGCAATCAGACAATAAAAGAGACACAAGCTTTGCACTGGGTGCTGTTGTTCCAGGACAGTGTGTTCATCCACGCAGCACAAGTGGCAGAACTGCTGCCTCATACACCTTACTCACCCGACCTGCACCATCTGACTTCTACCCATTTCACAAACTGAAATCACACTAGTGTGGTCACCATTTCAGAGTGATGATGAAGTCATGCATACTGCTGAGGAGACTCTGGAGGTTCAAGATGTCACCTTCTTCCACAAAGGGATAGCAAAGCTTGACAACTGGTGGACCAAGTGAACTGAAGTCAAAGGGGAGAATTATATGTACTTTGTTCCTTGCAATGAGCAGATGTGAGTCAGTTGGTAATTTGTTGGACAACATAAAGTTCTGCAGCACAGATCTCGGGTTGTGGCGTATATCGCTGTTATCTGTGTCAGACTATCAGGGTGTGAGTGCAGAACTTCTAGATTTTATGGCTAAATAAACAGAACCTTGAACCTCCAGAGTGTGCAAGCACAACCTGAATCAACACAAAATGCAAAGTAGAACTTTAAATTCTTTTGATGCAGTTCATGTTGTGATATTCAAAAGTTTCACACTGTTGTTGGTTTGTAAGTTCTCTGTGTTGCTGTACTTCTGCAGAAACCTTAGAAAATTGTCACACAAGTTTATCTGCATATCATTTTACTCTTATCAGTGGTGGAAGTAGAGTTTATATCTTATATTTCAGAACTAATACTGCATTTTGAAAATACTCCAAGACAAGCTAAAGTCCTGCATTCAAAAACATGTGTAAAAATATTTAAGCATTTTCAAGAAAATGGACTTAAAATACCAACAGTAAAACCACATGCTGTACTGTGAAATGTTCATTGTCAGTGTTTTTCTGTTATAGCTAATGTTTAAATATTACTGTTGAATTCATTTGTATGTTGCATTTTACTGCTGTAGACGTTAAAGGCTGTTAATACTGTTGGATAGTTTAATCTGCAGCAATGCATTATATTCTATATGAACATTGTANATCTCTTCCAGACGCGCGTTTAAAGATGTCTTCTTGTCTGATGGTTGTTTCTGCTCTGTCTGGTTTCCTGGATGCTGTTTCAATCTGTCTGACCTCATGTTCATCATTGACCTCTGCAGTCCCTCCCTCTGTGATGTAGAGCTGTGTGTAGATCTGGTTCAGAAGAGTTGGGTTTCCTGCTTTAGCGATCCCCTCAAACACACACTGGAACTTCTTCTGTAGGTTGGACTTCAGTTGTTGTCGACACATCAGAACAATAGTCCCTGAACAAAAACAAAAGGAAAACAAATAAATTGGGGTGACAAAACAATTTCTGGGTGTTTTTTTTTTTCAGAAGAATTATTAGATTTGATGCAATGCTTGCATCAAATAAACAGTAGATTGGAAAAAAAAAACAAAAACAGTATAAACATCTGACAGGTTTCCTCCATTTGTTCTTTCCATCATGCTAAAGATATTAAAATCTTCTTACTGCTCTGCAGACGGTCAGCCAGCTCCTCCTGCTTCATTCTCCTCAGGAAGTGCAGAGTGATCTTCAGAAATGAGTCTCTGCTGCTCCTCCTCTGATCTTCATCTTCACCCTCCAACACCTCCTCCTCCTCCTCCTTCTCACTCTCTAAGCATTCTGAGTAATCTGGACTCAGAACCTTCTGCATCTTCTTCAGCTCGTTCTTCACAAAACTGACAATGTTCTCCTCCAGCAGCTGGAGCAGAGAAATATATCAAGTTTATTCTCAACTGAAATTGAAGACAAATTCAAATGTTCGTTAAAATCCATTACTGAGAGCAGTGTGAACAATATTAGGTCCAAAACCATTGTTGAATTGGAACCAACAGCTGAAACTGTTTCAACAGTAACTTTACATTATAACCTTCATGAACGTTGGATTTATTGCAGCACTGATGGATTAGACTGTAATATTTGGACCTAAATGGATCAAATAAGCTGCTCACTGAGAGTCTGTTTCATGTTTCATCAGTAAATCAGAACAAATTCTTCAGTCAGGTTAATGTGACAGTAAAGGGTTGAATGTAGAATAGTTCTCACCATGAATACAGAGTCCAGATGTGTTTGATGCTGAGGGACACACTGACCTCTGAGATCCTCTGAGCTCTGCTGCTTAACGCTGCAACAACATTCAACTTTAGCACATTTACACTTTGTT